TAATGAGTTATTTTCCTCATTCAAAAGGACCAGCATCAAGATTTAAGAAGCATTGATAAAATTTATGTATAATGAACTTGTATGTTTCAGAGGAAATTTGTAACTCAAAGTAAACATCTCCTGAAAGCTAAGTACAGAATCTAAAGTTTAAAAATGCTTACTCTACATTGAACATGTTAATTTAGTGGATGTATCTCTTTTATTATTATTATTTTATTTTGTTTAAGGAATGCAACTTCATGCATTTAATATATACAGATTTGGGAAGATGATGATTCTTCCCTCTCCCCACCTCCCTCCCACTCATACTCCCACTTTTCTTTCTCCTCCCTCTTCCTTTACCATTCTTAATTTTTATACTCATTAAATTAACCAATTAGTAAGTATGAAGAAATAAACAAAACCAAACAAACAATCAAATAAATATATTGTTCCTTGATAGTCAAGACAAGGGCTGTTCAAAATCGATGCATCTCAAAGTGACAGTTGTGCTCCTCTGGATTACATTTTAGGTACTCTGTTACTCAGATCAGAGAGACTAGATGGTATTTGTTTTTTTGTGACTGACTTATTTCACTAAATATAATGGTTTCCAGTTGCATCCATTTTCTTGCAAATGAAAGGATTTCTTTTTTTTTACCACTGTGTAGTATTCCATAGTGTATACATAACATAATTTCTTTATCCAGTCCTCAGTTGATGGATATCTGGATTGATTCCATATCTTAGCTATTGTAAATTGAGCTGGGGTGAACATGGGGATACAGATCATTCTTTCATATGCTGATTTCATTTCCTTGGGGTAAGCTCCCAGGAGTGGGATGGCTGGGTCACAAGGTAAGTCTATATTCAGCTTTCTGAGGTATCTCTATATTGTCTTCCACAGCATCTGCACCAATTTACATTCTCAACAGTGGCTGAAGGTACCCTTCTCCCCACATCCTTGCCAGTATTTGTTGTTTGTTGATTTCTGTATGAGGAGTGAGACGAAATCTCATTGTGGTTTTGGTTTGCATTTTCCTGATGACTAGTGATCCTGAGCATTTTTTCATGTTTCTATTGGGCATTAGAATTCCCTTTCTTAAAAATTGTCTGTTCAGGTCCTTTTCCCATTTTTTTGACTAGGTTGTTTGCTTTTTTGTTGTTTAGTTTCTTGAACACTCTATAGATTCTAGAAGTTAACCTTTTGTCAGTTGCATAGTTTGCAAATATTATCTCCCATTCTGTTTGTTACTAAGGGTTTCTTTTACAGTGCAGAACATGAAAAGTCACAATGATAGTTTTTTTTTTTTAAGATCAAACTTGCCTTATCATTTTCCTTCCAAAATAACATGCATCTGCAATCAAAGATAGCAGAAAAGTAAATTTAAAGATTTTGAGGGATGAGGTAAGTGATGTATGTCAGTGTTCACTCTAAAATTTTTCTTTGATCTTGTAGTTCAAAAGAAATTTAAGAAGATAGCCAAGTATGTAGGGATATGAGCATTTCAGGTACAATGCATAATGTGAACAAGAATCTTCAGGACATTACGAGGACTGTAGGCCAGACACAAGCTAAACAGCCAGCCAAAGATCAAGTCAAGAAGAATGTGTATGCTGTGGTGAAAGAATACAGATTTTTTTTTTAAGTTGACAGGGAGCCATTGAAGGGGTTTAAGCAAAGGAATGAAATGACTAAAATCTAGTACTGGCTTTGCCCCTAACTAGGAGTTAGGTCAAGTTTTTTGATGCAATTTCTATCCAAAGAAAAAAAAGCCTCTGTTCAAACATAGGGTATCCAGACCCAACTCATAAATCAGATGGAGTGCTGTGGGTGAGGACTTGCCTATTTGGCCTTCTCAGGCCTCGCTGCAGCTTCTGGTATCCATCCATGAAATCTCCAGAGCTCCGTGGATTATGGAACCAAAAAACCCGCTCATTCCACATCTCTGCTTCCGATCTGTGTCCAATTTCATAATCTCAAGAAGGCTTAAAACACATTGTTTTCTAAATAGGCTTACACAGTTTATTTTTTTCCTCAAGGCATTCTAAAGCAATTTTTTAGATCGTTTGATTGAACAAAGATGTCAAAATTTTATTTTAATTTTATTCCAAGTCTACTTCTTTTAATTTAAAAAAGTCCTTCCAGAGAGGGACTTTGATACTAAAATGAGGGTGCCCACATACTGCTGTTAACTGAGTACCAGTACCCTACTGCAACTTAACTAGCTGTGCATGCCAAAGCCCAAATAAAAGGATGAGATTATTCAGTCAGTAGCACAACTTCTTCACTGTATCAACTATCAATGATATCCTTTATATTTTTTAACTTTTATTTAGTAAATATAAATATCCAAAGTACAGCTTATGGATTACAATGGCTCCACCCCCCCATAACGTCCCTCCCACCCGCAACCCTCCCAACTCCCGCTCCCTCTCCCATTCCATTCTCAACAAGATTCATTTTCAATTCTCTTTATATACAGAAGATCAGTTTAGTATATATTAAGTAAAGATTTCAACAGTTTGATGATAATGTCACAAGAATATTATAAGAAAATATTAGGGTGTTTTGTCCTATTGTTTAGCCTTAAGAGGTAATACATTCCAGATATCATCTTTTAATAAACACATTCTTTCTTTTCATTTTTTTCAGTAGCTAACTGGGATCTTCTCTCATGTGATTCTATTAATTTGGCAAAAATTGTCCCAGAGCAGTAGTCAAATGCTTGATTCTAAAGAGTAAATGATACATACACTGAAAAGAATATTAGGAAAGCATAGCTTTAAAACATGCAGATTTGGTGGGATATGTTGGGGTATCAGAAGATGTGTTTGATTCCCTTCCCCATTATGCTCTGTGCCCAACCTCCAGGGCATCCTACTACTTCTGCCTAAAGGAACTGAGGTCACAGCAGAAATTCTAAGGAAAAGTCAATCGAGAAATTAGTAATTTAGAATTTAAATAATAGCTTAAATGAGAAAAATGAATTTTACATTTAAAAACCCCAAATCCTATAGGATTTGGGTTAACATACTATGACTCTCAAAAGGTTTATACACTAAACAGAATAAAGTTTATCCAAAGATATATATATATATATATTTTTTTTTTGACAGGCAGAGTGGGCAGTGAGAGAGAGAGAGACAGAGAGAAAGGTCTTCCTTTGCCGTTGGTTCACCCTCCAATGGCTGCCGCAGCTGGTGCACTGTGGCAGGCGCACTGCACTGATCCGATGGCGGGAGCCAGGTACTTCTCCTGGTCTCCCATGGGGTGCAGGGCCCAAGCACCTGGGCCATCCTCCACTGCACTCCCTGGCCACAGCAGAGAGCTGGCCTGGAAGAGGGGCAACTGGGACAGAATCCCGCACCCCAACTGGGACTAGAACCCGGTGTGCTGGCGCCACAGGGGGAGGATTAGCCTATTAAGCCGCGGCGCCAGCCTATCCAAAGATATTTATACCCTAATCCCAAAAGCCTGTGAAAATATTACCTCATATGACAAAAGGCAGATGCAACTCAGGGATCTTGAGGAGAAGATTATCCTCATAGACACAATGCAACCAAAAGAGCACTAGTGAGTAATCAGAGAGAATTAGATTCGGAAAAGGAGATATTTTGAGATGGAAAGAGTAGATCAGAGCCAGAAGTTTGAAAATGCTAGGATTCTAACTTTGAAGACAGGGGAAGGCAAAGAGTACAGGTGGCCCTGTTAGCTAGGGAGGACAAGGAACCAGATTCTCCTAGAACCTCCAGAAGGAATGTAACCCTGCCGCCCCACCTCTGTCTCCTCACCTCCGGGTAATAAACCTGGGCTGATTTAATCCACTAGGTTTGTGCTAATCTGTTACCAAATAAAGATAATACAGATCTTGACACTGAAAGTGGGCTAGTACTGTTAACACTCATATATATATATATATATATATACACATATATATATACACACATACATTTATATGTACATATATATATTTAGCTTTGGAATTGGGTATTGAACGTAGACTGGGACAATTTTGAGAAACATAATGGAAAAAGCACATTGTTTTGAGCACACTGTTAAAGGCGCTGCTGATAAGGATTCAGAATGAAGTGCAGAGTGTGGAGAAAACTCAATTTTGGGAATAAACAGACTGTTGGTAGAAATACAAATACTGAAAGCACTGGTGGTGAGGGCTGAGGGAGAACTGAAGAATATATATTCGAAACTAGAGAAAAGGGGATCCTTGCTATGTAGTGGTAGAAAAATTTAAATATACTGTTTCCTACAGACAAGTGGAAAACAATTTGTAATGAATTAAAAGGTATGTTTAGCTGAGGAGAATTCCAAACAAAGTGTTGAGGGTCCAGCTCAGCTTTTTTCTTGTCTTAAATAATAAAATATAAGAGCAAAGAGAGAGATTGAAGGAAGAACTATTAATTAAAAAGGAAACTGGGGCCAGCGCCGCAGCTCACTAGGCTAATCCTCCACCTGTGGAGCCAGCACCCCAGGTTCTAGTCCCGGTCAGGGCACCAAATTCTGTCCCGGTTGCCCCTCTTCCAGGCCAGCTCTCTGCTGTGGCCAGGGAGTGCAGTGGAGGATGGCCCAAGTGCTTGGGCCCTGCACCCCATGGGAGACCAGGAGAAGCACCTGGCTCCTGCCATAGGATCAGCGCGGTGCGCCGGCCGCAGTGCGCCGGCCATGGCGCCCAGAAGAGAGGAACCCATGGCAAAAGAAAAAACCTTTTCTTTATATCTCATCTCTCTCTCTCACTCTGCCTGTCAAAAAAAAAAAAAAGAAAGAAAAAAGAAAAAAAAAAAGTGTTCTGTGAAGAAAAAAACAAACCAAGGTGTGAAGTCCTTTGCTGGTACCACAGAAGAATCAAAAAATCAGAATATTCATTCTCCCAGAGAACTCTGAAATGCTTAGGGATATGATTCACAGGCCCTATCAGCCACCTCAGCAGAAGTGAAGGATAGAGATGGGAGGAGCCAGGAAATAAGCCATGGGGAAATCTTTTGTCAAATGAATGAATCTCTGTAATATACAGAGGAAACCCACAAAATTCTTGAGAAAAGTGTGTGTGTGTGTGTGTGTGTGTGTGTGTAGAAAGTGTCACTTTTGGCGCCGGCACTGAGTCACAGTGGGTTAATGCCCAGGCCTGAAGTACTGGCATTCCATATGGGTGCCGCTTCTAGTCACAGATGCTCCTCTTCCTATCCAGCTCTCTGCTGTGGCCTGGGAAAGCAGTAGAAGATGGCCCAAGTCCTTGGGCTCCTGCACCCTTGTGGGAGACCCGGAAGGAGCAGGTTCACCAATAGAAAGTTTTTTCCCAGGATCTCTTTTAACTACAGTCCCATTTAGAGCTCATTTTGATGTTAAAGAGTACAAGATTTCATGATTTGGGACAAATGAGACTTAGATAGCATTTTGCACTTGAATTTGTACTATAATAGATAAAAACCTTTGAGAACTTTGGGTTAGGATGAATGTATTTGCACACAGGACACATATAAACCATTGAGGGCCAAAAGCAGATGGTGGTAGTCAGAATAAAAGTAATTCTAAAGCTGTTCACAGCCAGCTATTAGAAACATTAATTTTGAAGAATCTTCAATAAATGGATGCTGAATTTTCTGCTATGGGGAGGTAAGAATCCAGAGAAGGAAAATTCCTCTGTGAGTTACATGGTAGCTTATAGAAGATCAACGCACCCAATGAAGAACAACTAAAAGATAAGTGAAATATAAAATCCGTGTGTTGAAAGCCAACTGAAAAACATAAAATCACTGAACATTAGGAGAACTACAGTTCAGAGAAGAGAGCACATTCAGAGGTGACCTGAGGATTTTCAACTACTCTCTCATGATACCATGTGCCAATCTGGGGCAAAGACTCGGTACAAGTATTTAGACTGAGCCTCTTAGAAAAAAATTTAGATAGAGAATAGAGAAAATTTGTAGGATTTTTTTTATGTTCCTAAAATGTCAGAATAAGGGTATTAGAGACTTGATGGAACTTAACACAAAGGAAGTTCTTCCTGCAAAATACTCGCCATGAGTAAGGCTGTGTAGGATGAGAAGATAAAGAACTGACAAAAAAGACATCTGATACTCAAAGCGGAAACCTCACTAGTCTTTTCAGAGGAAGACCTTCCAGTGGAAGAGGTCCCAGTGTGCAGAGCAAGATAAATATAAAAGTCTTGAGGGAGAACAGTCAATTGGCAGCTGCATCTAGCTTTTGCTCTAGGGCCACTTGCAGATTCCAGATATCCAGATAGTGAGAACCCAGTCTTGTCCCCTGAAGGGAAGATTTCATGAAGTACAAGGAAGCAAACAGACATTTGTGATTCACTTGGGATGGGTGTAACCAAATTGGAACATCCGGAAGTCTCAAACACTTGGCCAGTATCCCCTGAAACACTCTCAGCGAATGGTAAAGTCGCACAGAATAGGAAGCCAAAGATCAAAGCTGAAAAACTGTACGGTGGAGAGGGGAATCTCCTTCAGTCACCTGATGCTGAGAAAAACAAGATCAGCTAGGATCTCAGTTGCAAGCTCAAGAAAAGAATAAGCAAGGTGAAAGAGGTCGCTACAGAACACCTACTACACTGGCCCAACTGAGGAGATGGAGATCCTCTCTGTTGAACAAAACATCACCTGCAGTTTCTTCATATGCAATGTGTGTGATCGATCAAAAATAATAAAGATGGCAAAACACAGGATCAGAAGACTAACCAACAAGAAAAAAGACAATAAAAGCAGACTCAGTAGCTAAACTAGATATTAAAGTTAAGTGGCAAGGAGCTGAAAAAAAGTTCTGATTAGTTTAGTTTAAATATGGAGAAAACAATGTGGAAGACCAGTGAATGTTCATAATTACATTTAATATTGAAATCCATAAAAAATTCAAATTTGGGGGGCCAGCACTTGGTGAATCCTCCGCTTGTGGCGCTGGCATCCCATATGGGTGCTTCTAGTCCTGGTTGCTCCTCTTCCAGTCCAGCTCTCTGCTGTGGTCTGGGAAGGCAGTGGAGGATGGCCCAAGTCCTTGGGCCTTGCACCTGCATGGGAGACCAGGAAGAAGCACCTGGCTCCTGGCTTCAGATTGGTGTAGCTCCGGCCATAGCGGCCATTTGGGGGGTGAACCAAAGGAAGGAAAACCTTTCTCTCTCTCTCTCTCTCTCTCTCTCTCTGTCTACAACTTTACCTGTCAGTCAAATTAATTAATTAATTAAAATTTTAAAACTGAGAAATAAAATATCTGAAATTAAGACCACAAGATATGCATTAACAGTGATTATACATAGCAAATTATAAGATTAGTGAACTAGAAGTCAAGTCAATGTAACACCTCAAAATATGTCACAGAGAACTATAAAATAGAAATATGGAAAAATTAAATGGTCACATTAAAATGATCTAGTATGACTATAATTGTGCTAAAGGGAAGGAAAGAAAAGTGGAGTATTTGAAAGGAGCAATATTTGAAGAAACAATACATGAGAATTGTCAACCCAGAGGTTCCATAAATCATAGGCAAAAAAAAAAAGAATATTACAGGTTCTATAATAGTAAAACTGCAAGAAAACAAAGAAAAGAGGGGGATATTAAGGAGAAATATACAAAGAAAAATATATTATATAAATTAAAAATTACTTCTGAATAGAAACAATAAAACCAACATGAAGTTAAATCACATTTTTAGGTACAAAAACAAAATAACTGACATATTTAATTATATTTCCAGTAAAAATATCCTTGAAAACTGAAGTCCAGTCACACTTTCAAACAAAAACAGATAGAATTTGTTTCCAGCAGACATATATTAAAATATATATTAAAAGCTCTTCAATTAGAATTAAATTAATTCTAAAGATAAACAAGAAGGCATAAATATGTGGATAAAAATAAGCAGTTAATTAACAACAGTAATAGTAATGTCTAATGTAGTTTAAAAATATATACAGAAATAAAATGTATCCCAACAATGACATGCAGATCAGAATGGGAGTGAAAGGAATTAAAATGCTCTAGAGTTGACGTATTATTGTACCAATAGAAATTTGATCATTTGCAGGGCTGGCGTTGTGGCGTAGTGGGTAAAGTGGCCCCCTTCCTTGCCGGCATCAAATATGGGCAGTGGTTCGAGTCCCAGCTGCTCTACTTCCTAGCCAGCTCTCTGCTGTGGCCTGGGAAAGCAGCAGCAGATGGCCCAAGTCCTTGGGCCCCTGCACCAGCACAGGAGACCCTGAGAAAGCTCCAGGCTCCTGGCTTCAGATTGACGCAGCTCCAGCCATTGTGACCAAGTGGGGAGTGAACCAGTGGATGAAAGACCTCTCTCTCTCTCATCCTTTCTGCCCAGTGCCTCTCTGTAACTCTGCCCTTTTCAAATAAGTAAATAAATCATTAAAAAAAGAAGAAAAAGAGATTTGATCATTTGCACTAAACTACTAAAAGGCAAAGATGGATATTTTACACTTCAGTAAAAGTAAAAACTAGCTTTAAAATTATCACTAAAACATTAATAAGAGAAATAAAATATATTCCATTCATCCAAAAAAAGAAAATAAAGAAAGCAGAGCATAAAACAGGTACATCAAATAGAAAACAAATAATGATATGATAAATAAAAATCCACTTGTATCAATAATTATGTTAAATGAAAATGGCCTAAATATTGCACATGCTGATATTTGGACTAGATTAAATTAAATTATCTGGTTCATGTGAGAGATATATATTAAATATGAAGACCAAGAAATGTTTAAAGCAGAATAGGGGAAAACATATACCATACATACACTAACCAAAGGAAACCTGATGTATCTATCCTATCAAATAATGAAGATTTTAAGCACTTTAAGCATTTTATAGAATTTTAAGCACATTTAAGCATTTTATAGAATTTTAAGCACATTTAAGCATTTTATAGAACCTCTGGGGTAAAAATAGCATATATTATTAACACTTTATGACAAAGTAAAATTTATACTTATTGGACAAAATTCTTGAGAAATTTAAGTTACCAAAACAAAAATCAAAATATTTGAATAGTCCAATATTGATTAAAGAAATAGGATCAGTGTTTAAGAACCTCTCTACAAAGAAAGCATTAACTTATGTGGCATCAGTGGTGAATTTGAACACATAATTCTCATTTAAAAAAAATTTTTGGCACCCATATCTCATATGAATATAAGCATTAAAGTACTAACCAAAATATGAGCAACTCAAAAACACTGGTAGATGAAAAGAACCAAGGATTAGCTCAGGAATGCAATATTGGATCAACTATCAAAAGTCACTTGATATAATTCTCTACATAAACATTAAAAGAAAAAGGTATGTGATCATTTCAGTACTTAATTAAAAATTGACAAATTTAACACCCATTCACTCTAAAATCTCTTAGCACACTAGGAAGAGAAGGGAATTTCTTTAATCTGACAAGGCCTTCTTAAAAACAACCTGCACCAAACATGTTTAATGCTGGAATAGTGATATCTGTCCCCCGAGATCAGGAAAAGGAGACGAGTATTATTACTAACATCACTTGTAGTCAACACTTCACTAATGCTCAGTGAAGCGTAAATATTGGCAAAGCTACAGTTGGTATTGCTAATTTCCTCCTATGATATTTATTTTCCTCTTCCATCCAGAAATCAGTTGGACCAAATTCTTCATCCAGTTGAATGCTGCATATCTTGACTCTGAGGTTTTAAGTTTTCATTAGTCCCTTCCCTTTTTATTATAGTTTATTACTAAAATTTCTCATTAATTTTTTCTATTGGACATTGAAATACTTACTTGTGTCAGAATCCTCTGGGTTCCACTTTTAGACAACATGTGGTTTTGAAGAGTTCTTTGTGGGAAAAAGAGAGGTAGAAAATATGAGCACAGACTTAGGCATTTTCTTTAATTCAGCACAAGTCCCATGTATGTAGCCCAAGGTCTAGTTCCATGAAACTCTGTATCTGGATAGTTGTTCAAATACTAGACCCAAGACCAGTTATCTTCAACTGTTTTGACTTGCGGACCATACATCCCACGAAGTCTCTATTTAGAGTCCAACCTCTGTCACCACTCTGGGTTTATTTTGTTCGACCCTGTCATGTTCTCTGTTGGCTTTCTAATGTATATATCTGGAGATAATTTATCCTTGCTTAATTTCTGGCAATCATCAAATGTGGGTAATAACAACTATTAAAAATAAAATCTTTTAAGGGGAGGGAGTGAAGAAAGAAGAGCAGAGTGAAATATGCCAAGTTCTGAGGGTAAACCTGAGATAGTTTTGAAGGATTTACAATGGGAGGAAATGGGATTATCATCTCCAATAATCACCCCCCCCAAAAAAAAAAAAAAACATGGAATATTTGATGAAATCGAAGAAACAAGCAAACAAAATTCTGGGCTCAGTGTAATAATAAAGCATCAGATATTAAATCACCAGACTTGGTATTTAAGAAGACATATCCAATATCCCTTGCCAAATAGCTTGTATTTTTTGCTACAAATTTACACTCCTGTCTACATTTTTTCTCTTACCCCTGTTTCCAATTTCCCTGAATTTCAGAGTATGCTGCTAGCTCTGTAGGCAGCATTAACCATTGTGGAACCCTAAAAATTACCCGTATCTCTGTAATTAGCCATTGTGTAAATAAACGTTCCCTAAAGTACATTAATTTGAGTGTGCCATAGTTTCTTGTAGAGACCCCTATAAACACAGAATTTTATGCATGCTTATAAATTCTACCATGTTTTCCAGGACCAGAAAAATGCAGTTTATTAAGTCACTAAGGGCAGTTTGGACAATGCAATCAGCCCTGTTAGTACTGGTGCCCTTTTGCGCAGAAAAAAAAAAAAAATGGGATTAACAGTGACCGAGCAAAGGATGGAAACTTACTGCCTTGCAGATGCTATCATCAATACATGATGACCAAGGACCAGATCTTTGTTTATACAACACCTGACCCTGAAACCTCTGGAACTGGAAACCCCTCCAGAAAAGCAATATGTCAGAATGTATAAATTGAGTTGTTATGGAAAGAAAATTATTTTTGTACATAAATTTACAGACTAAAACTGGCACTTTTGTAACATAAGTACCCATAAAATCTTCAAATGAAATAAAGCAGGAGTTTTCTATTAACTTAAGAAAAGCTAGATTGCTCTTAGGCTGCACAGTTTTAGCACAAATGCATCAGTAGTGTACTTAGTAGTGACCTAGTGTACAAGGGGATACATTTCAAAGCCTGGCACCAAAGAAAAGAGGAATGTCAACTCTCAGACTTCTGATTCCTTCTGTGTACCAGGTGTGAATCTTGCTCCAGGTTTGGACAGGTCTCCCCCATAACACTGCAAAACTTATGAGCAATAATTATCTCATTTTATTATCTGACTGCAAAGAAATTAAAAATTAAATCAATATTTGATTAATTCAATTGTAGTACTGTGTTGAATGAGTTACATCCATATGGTATAAAAGAAAGCAATTGTGCTCTTTCCTGTCACTAACATTGTCAACCTGTCCCAAGATCTGCTCTCACTTTCAGACAGAATTTGGAGCAATATTGAAAGCTCTTCTGGTACTCAAACCTTTTTTTTTTTTTTAAGGTAGTAAAAAGGTCATCCCCACATAATGTTAGAATTCTGAAGTTTGTTTAAATTGCCTTGTCATCCTATGCTATGGCTGACTTCTTTCTTTTAAGCTAGTGGTAGAGAAGAGGACTACAGTGTTGACATTTCTGTTTGACCAATTCCCCAAATCTCCAACTGCTGTGTTAGACCTTGGCAGGGATTAACCAAAGAAGAGGTGCAAATGCTGTTCGTAACTGATGCAGTTAGTTGTCATCTAGGGCTGTGATCACTGAGGGGGACACAGTATGCATGCTAATTCCTTCTCTTGCAACGTGCTTATATGCTGAGACCTTGCCCCTGATATGTCTGTTAGCAATCTTTCCTTTGATAGACCACTTGTGTCTTTCCTATTTGTGCACCAGTATTTTTATTTTATATTTTCTGATTAGATTGTTACCACCCTTGACTGACATTCTGTTATGCAAATCACCAGGCTCCCACAAAATGTGCATAATTGAAGGATTTAGAGGAGGTAAAAGTACACTTACATCTCTGAGAGAATACCAAATGGCAGATAATGCTGGTGCCACAGGAAGATCAGGTCCCTAGAGTCAGAGGCCATACAATTCTGAAGAGGCATTGGAAGTGACACATGGGGCCTGTGTCCCCACAATGGTAGGGCCCAAGCCATGGAGCTCGCAGAGGCAATGCCAAGGACAAGCAGTGGCTCCATGTCACCAATTTGCATACCCTGGCCAAGGACAAGAAAATGAAGTCCCTGGAGATGGTTCTCCCTGCCAATCAAGGAGTCTGAGATCAATGCCTTTATCCTGGTGGAAAAAGACGAGGTTTTGGAGCTAGTGCCTGCACAAAAGCAGGTTCCAGCTGGCCAGCAAACCGGGTTCAAAACATTTGTGGGGCCAGCTCTGTGGCGTGGTGGGTAAAGCCAACGCCTGCAGTGCTGGCATCCCATATGGGCACCGGTTTGAGTCCCGGCTGCTCCACTTCCTATCCAGCTCTCTGCTATGGCCTGGGAAGGCAGTAGAAGATGGACCACATCCCCAGGGCCCTGCACCCATGTGGGAGACCAGGAAGAACCTGTGGCTCCTGATTTCAGATTGGTGCAGCTCTGGCAGTTGTGGTCATCTGGAGAGTGAACCAGCGGATGGAAGACCTCTCGCTCTCTCTCTCTCTCTCTCTCTCTCTACCTCTTCTTCTCTCTGTGTGTAATTCTGACTTTCAAATAAGTAAATCTTGGAAAATAAAAAAACATTTGTTGCCATCAGTGACTACAATGGCTGTGTCGGCCTGGGTGTGAAATGTCCCACTAGGGTAGCCACCACTATCCAAGCGGCCATCATCCTGGTCGAGCTCTCCGTTCTGCCCATGCGAAGAAGCGACTGGGGGAACAACATCAGCAAGCTCCTCAGCATGCCTTGTGGGGCTACTGCATGCTGTGGCTCTGTGCTGGTGCTCCTTGTCCCCGCCCTCCAAGGACACTGAGCATCAGCTCAGTCCCCCTCCCCAAGAAGCTGCTGCTGCTGGCTGGCATTGATGTCTGCCAGACCTCTGCCACAGGTGCACTGCCAAGCTGGACAAGTTTACCAAGGCCACTTTTGATACCATTTCCAAGACCTACAGCTCTCTGACCCCTGAACTCTGCAAAGAGACTGTGTTCACCAAGTCTCCTTATGAAGAATTCACTGACCATTGTGTAAAGGCCCACAGCAGAGTGTCTCTGTGGAGGACTGAGGCTCTAGCTGTGTCTGCAACAGAGGATTTTACACAAGAAAAATAAAGTGAATTACACGTGCTAAAAAAATTCTCTGCATTGCCACTTAACTCTCTGATGGTTTCTATCAAAATTTATAGTGTAAAGAAAAAGGACTGCTATGGACCAGGGAGTTTACAAATGACATTTTATTCAGTCCTCACAAAACAATTTGAAGAGGTTATTTTTGCAACACAATGTAGTTGAGAATGCTGACACTGAGGAAGAACTTGCCCAAGGTTCTATAGGTAGTAAATAGGAAAATAGGACTCTGACCCCCTCGTTGACTTATGAGAAAAATCTTGGGTATCTTGGAACTGTACCTATGAAATGCATAAAATCTGTTCTCTCTATATTAATACATTTTTTTTAAAAGTTCCACCAGATGACAATTTTTTTATGTCAGGTCATTAAACTCAGCTGCAAATAAAATTTCTTTTTAAATATGAAAAAAAGTGAATGTGTTTAGGGGCCGGCACTATGGCATGGCTGGTAAAGCCTCCACCTGCAATGCCAGCATCCCATATGGATGCTGAAGTCCTAGCTGCTCCATTTCCAATCCAGCTCCCTGCTAAGGGCCTGGGAAAGCACCGAAGATGGCTCATGTCCTTGGGCTCCTGCATCCACGTAAGGAAGCCGGGATAAGTGCCTGGCTCCTGGCTTCAGCTTGGCCTTGTCTTGTCTGTTGTGGCCATCTGGGGAATGAACCAGTGGATGGAAGATTCTCTTTCCTGCTCCCCCTCCCTCTTCTTCTCTCTGTAACTTTGACTTTCAAATAATTAAAATAAATCTCTTTTTTTGGATGCCATTTCCAAGACCTACAGCTCTCTAAAAAAATAAATAAATAAATAAATAAAACTTTTTTTTTTTAAAAGTTAATGTTTATAAGGCACTTTGCTGGTGATAATAGACATTAAACAACACATTGTTAAGTAAATAAAAATATGTTGGCTCCCAAAGGGTTTTGTCTTGTTTCTCATCTGTAATTTTTAAAATGCTGAGAAAAGTGGGCATCCAGCATAGCTGTTAGGACACCTACATCACATATGGAGTACCTGAGTTCAATTCCTGGCTCCAGCCACTGACTCCAGTTCCTGACAATACAGATTCTAGGAGCAGCCATAATAACTTGAGTAACTGGATTCCTGCCCCCCGTGCGGGAGAACTGGAATTCATTCCCATCACTATGTCCCAGGTCCACACCAGCCCCAGCCACCATAGGTGTTTAGGGGAGTGAATCAAGGGGGGATGGAAAATAAGTGCAATTTTTGAAAATGAAGCAAAATAAACCCGAGTGTAGTTCATTCATTCTACAGAATTGACTAGCACAGACTGTCTACATACCATTAACTGAAACAATGAAGTGACACTGCAAGACGATATTCCAAGGAATGCTAACCATTATTATATTTTGCAGAAGAAAGATATTGGTGAGAATGCAACACTGAGAACTGAAGAGTTGAAATAGGACTCAAGATCCAGCTACAAACAGTGAAGAATTAAGAAGGAACACATAACCCAAAGTCAAAACTGGACAAACCACCCACAAATCACTTTTGTTGAATTCTTTTATTTCTTAAAAAATAAGGAAGAAGATCAACATCAAAATGGCAGTTAAATAAGATGTTCAGCAATCATCTCCCCAGAAAAATATTGGTTTGAACAGCTATTCACATACCAAGGTACCTTCACAAGAACTAAGGAAGCCAGAGAAAAGATCATAGTACCAAGCTTTGTTCTAATAATTAGAAAACATGTATCGAAGAAAACAGGAATGAAAGAGTTACCTGGGTCATCTCTGCTCAGCTCCAAAAGCAAAGTGTGTAAAGATGCCTCACCTCCTGTTAGGGGGTGGGGGGGTGGGGGGGAGAAGAGGGAGAGAGAGAATTAGGGACAAACTTTAGACTTGACTCCCAGTAGCAGGCCTGCCATGATAAAAGCCAGAGCTGGATAGGGCCCCCACAATCCTACCCCTGTGCCTCTACCACCCTTCCTCCAGCCTCTGACTGAGCTAAACAGAGCTAGGTAGTTGGACAAAAAATAGAATTTAAGCCTCTGACTTGGAGCCCAGGGTAGGGCTCACCAGTGTGATAAAGTACGTGTTAAAGCACAAAGGCCTTGGTCCTCAGGCCAGTGCTAATAAATGGAGCCTCTAGACTTGCCCCAGCATCAGTGAAGATCTGCAATCCCCTACAACATGTCTCAACATGCACCAGAGCCAGACTCACGTGGACCTGGCATGGGCCCTCAAAAGCGCACAGAATCGGAGGACTGTGAGACATAGTGTAGTGCTACCATTAGTGGCTGACTTTATTACCCATATCCCAAAATGAGATTACAGCATACACCATGGGACTCACAGCTGGGTTGGTAAACTTTAGCATGCATCAGAAGCAGCTGGAAGGCTTTTAAAACCAATTTGTTTCACAAGAGGCCATGATTCAGGACATCTAGGAGAGTGTACAGGAATTTATGTATCTTATTATTTCCCAAATGATAGTGAAGCCGCCTGGTATCAAAGTACAGTTCCATAGAAATGTGTCTTCTTTGAAAATGGATTTTGTGGTCAAAACAGCTTGCGAAATCATAAAACTTTAAAAAATCACAAAACACATCACTGTCTTATAAGCAATCTTGGAAATACCTCCCATTTAGTTAAAGCTGTACTCTTTCAAACTTACAGGCCCGCAGCTTTTGGCTAAATGCCTTTTACCATGGAGCTAGTGTTCTGAGGGAAACTGAGAATTTTTTCCTGCCAATTCATATTAGTAGATTTGGTTTCTAGATTAATCTATCCAGGTGTTTTTGTTTCCCTCTGATTGACACAACTACACAGTGAATGGCCTCAGGAAATACATTTATCCCCTGATGAGATTTTTTTATGAGTGACATAGAGTAGAAATAGGTTCAGATCAAAAAATTATGTCAGTTGGTGGTATATAGAAGATATATAAAATTCAAAAGACTCTCATATTGAGACCAGATATCTAAAAAATTTACATGCACCTTGGCCAAAAAAACTGCACTTGTCATGACACACCATGTTCACATTAAAGTAGCATCAGAGGAAAGTTCTGTTACATGTGCCAGGTAATTAAAAATCATACTTCTAACATTAAATAAGATTAAATTATTTCACCCGGTCTTATCTATGCCAGCATCAGTTTGTGGTATGGCAAGAGAAAAAAGGATTCTAAAGCTTTGAATATATGGAATTTTTTCTAATGTTTCCTGTAGCAACATTCTAGAAGATAGTTATCCACTCAGGCTGGGCAGATGTTTTTCTGAGCTAAGATTAACTAAAGTGCCTTTCACAGGTGATAATCAGTCATTGAAATTTTATCTCAATAATTGCTTTTTACTAGGAATATATTTGAAATTTTTTATTTACTTTCTCTTTAAAAAATTTATTTGAAATGTACAGGGGCAGAAAGAGAGATCTTCCACCCGCTACTCACTCTTAAAATGCTCACAAAAGCTGAGGCTGTGCCAGGCTGAAACTAGGAATTTAAGCCATCTTCAGGCTCAGAGTGAGGATTCGCAGGAAGCAGGAATGTGAAGTGGAGCCAGGACTTCTATGCAAGCAACTCAATATGCGATACAGATATACCAAGCATAATCTTAATCACTGTGCTAAATGCTTGCTCCAACATACTTTGAGAGACTGGGAGAGAGAGAGGTGAGGAGAGAGAAAAGAAAGAAAGACTCTTACACCTGAAAATCCACTCCTTAAATGTCTACAACAGACAGGCCTTGACCAGGTTGGAGCCAGGAGTAAGGAATTCCATCCAGATCTACTTTGTGAGTGGCAGGAACCCAAGTCCTTGGATCATCATCAGTTGTCTTAGCAGGAACTTGGATTGGAAGTGGAGTAGCCTGGACTCAACCAATATTGATAACGGATACAAGTATCCCCTGTGGTAGCTTGACCTGCTGTACATCAACGCCTGCCCTCCCAACATACTTTTAAAAAAGATGTATGTATTAAAATTTATTTGAAAGGCAGAGTGACAGAGAAAGGGAGAAACACACACACACACACACACACACACACACACCCTGAGTATCTTCCATCTGCTGGTTCACTACCCAAGGTGCTGCAACCACCATGTCTGGGTCAGGCCAAAGTCCACATCCGTAATGTGGGTGACAGGGCCCAAGAACTTGGTCATCTTCTGCTGCCTTCCCAGATGGATTAACGGGAAGTTAGATTAGAAATGGAGCAGCTAGGACTCATAGGGCTGCTCTGATATAGGATGCTTTTTTGCACCAAAATGAACTTATTTTTACTCCATTTTCTACACACTTTTTGAAGCACTCTCATATATAATAAGACTGGTTAGTGTATGACATGATCACTCTACTAAATGGAAACCTGAATTCCACCTGTCACGTAAGGATAGTTAATCTACTAAATGTAGTCCTTCATAAAATATTGAAAGAGCCTCCTAAAATCCTTTGTTGGATGAAACATGGTATACCTTAGTGTGGTAAACAGAATTATGTGTCCCCCACCCCAAGCCAAAGATGTTGTCTTATATAGAGAAATGGACTGTGCCGATGTAGACGGAAGTGAAGTAATCACACACATCATTACAGGGAAAGGGAGAGGCAAAAAATCAGAGGAGATGTGACAACAATGGAAGCTAAGGTTAGAGGGAAGTGATCACTAGCTTTTTATTTTCACTTTATTTAAGTTACACAAGTTTCATGTATTTCATATATACAGATTTAGGAACACAGTGATACTTCCTACCCTGCCCTCCTCCCGCCCATGCTCCCACCCTTCTTCCACCTGCCTTTCCCATTCCAATTCCTAATTTTTACAAAGATCTATTTTCCATTTACTTAATGATCATAAAGTTAACCCTACACTAAGTAAGATAGCTGGCTTTCAGAAAGGAAGAGAGCAACAGATTGGGAAAGGTAAGGAAACAGATTCTAACTCAAGTTTCACAAACACAGCCCTGTTGCCTGCTGGGGAGTGAACCAGTGGATGGAAGACCTCTCTCTCTCTCTACCTCCCTCTGTAGCTCTTTCAAATAGATAAAATAAATCTTTAAAAATATATATAAAACATTGAAATATGGTACCTGAAGTACAGGTTATAAGCTTTTCACATATTAAGGTGAAGAGGTACAATGATTTTCATACATGAAACATTTATATGTTATAATTTAGAATAGCATTTTTGGGGCCGGCGCTGCGGCATAGCGGGTAAAGCTGCCGCCTGCAGTGCCGACATCCCATATGGACACCAGTTCTAGATCCAGCTGCTCCACTTCTGATCCAGCTCTCTGCTGTGGCCTGGGAAAGCAGTAGAAGATGGCCCAAGTCCTTGGGCCCCTGCACTCGTGTGGAAAGACCCAGAGGAAGCTCCTGGCTCCTAGCTTCAGATCGGCGCAGCTCCAGCTGTTGTGACCAAGTGGGGAGGTGGGGAGTGAACCAGTGGATGGAAGATCTCTCTTGATCTCTCTCTCTCTCTCTCTCTGCCTCTCCTCCTCTCTCTGTGTAACTCTGACTTTCAAGTAAATAAATAAATCTTTAAAAAAAATAGCATTTTTGTATTCTACTATTTTTACAGGAATCCTAAAACGTTAGTTTTTGTGTATTATCCATTCCCAAATTTCCTTTCATTTAAGGACTGGAGAAGTGGGAAGTATGGTATCTGTAGTATTCATAAAAAATCAACTGTAAAATATTTTTGAATGTCATCATGTTGTGAATAACTTTTGCCTTTCTCTCCAAGGTCACATCTTTTGTCCATGAGAAAACAGTTTTCTTAGTCTTTTCTTAGTCACATCTGCAGTGAGCATGTGTATTTAGCTAATGGAATGCCTAATAATAAAGTCCAATCCAGTAAGATGCAATTAAGTAGACAGCTATGGGATTTGACTCTCCAGAACATCACGTCTCAAAAGTAAAAATATTTTATTTGTATTTTGAAACGATGAACTCATTACCGCCTGTGAGTGCACCCACACAATTCAAATATTATTCATTAAAAGTGCTTAGTAAATGGTGAAAGAAAAACAAGTCATCAACTGCTCTGACCACAGTACACACCCACTCAGGCTCTGTGACTTCTGTGGGGTGGAGATCTGCAGTGATACTCAATAGAGAGTAATTCTTCAATGCCTGATAGGGATTAAGTAGAGGTACTGATTTCCTGGGACTTTCTGATACATCTGTGCAATCTGAGCAATACAGTTCAATTTGACTGATGAATTCAAATCCATCTTAGAGATACATGTGAATAATGTTGACATACAAGTCACATGTACATTCAGCTCTCTGTTGAGTCACAGTGCAAAAAGTCTAGTGTTGGTGTGCTTTTTCATCTCTCGTACCTAGGGAGACATTTTATGATCTAAGCAAGTGTGTCACAATGAGCAGATAAGTAGAAAGATTGGGTTCCTTATTCCTAAAGTGTTTGCATAGGAAATCCTCCCCTAATTAGAACTATCAAGATCTCAGAGCAAGGACATAAATTAAAACTATCTTCTTGGTATCACCAAAATAAAATTTATGAAGAGACCATAGTCACTTAGGTTACAGATTAACATCTAATTCAACATTATATTCTAGGATTTGTCATTCAATAGACTGCTGAGTCAGATATGAATGAGCCATGAAAAACTACCAATTAAAATCTCTGGGTTTTACCATCACTCATCATTTATAGAAATCTCTGGAATCAAGATCTCCCAAGTCAAGGCATGACTCCTATATTCTTTTAAGCACCAGAAATAATTGTGATTCTCAGACAATGTCAATAGACACTAATGTAGAAACTTTTAAGGGCCTTGATTTGAAACTTGGAGAATTCATAAAACTTCTGCAGTTAAGAAATACAATGTAAAAGAATTCTAAAAACAATGAATACAATTAACAACGTGTGCAGAAGTCAGCATTATTTACCAAATTCTATATATTCTACAAACCCCAGTTCAAATTCATTCTCATTAACGCTATTCTGATTCCACATGCTTTGTGCCTAGCTATTTCAGCCTATGACCCCCTTCCAAAAAATTTCATGTGACAGATTGCCCTTTGTGTTTCTTCTCTGCCTCCTTGAGCTGGCAAAGTGAAGAGGAATTAAGAGGAGACACTAGAGGAAGAGTACCTGGACATAAACAAAACCCACCTACAAATGCTGAAATGCTCATTTTATCACTCCTCCTGTGAACACTTTCAAATATTGCAACTGAAGTAAGCACTCCCACTTCTATACTGTGATGGCACTCCATCTATGCCACTGCCACAGATTGAATCGTACTGCAGCACAGAGGCAGTTGTGTTTTGCATAGTGCATTGTATTATGCTTTCCTTGTGTTGAAAACTCAGTCTTTTTGTAAAAAGCTAGCAAAGTGTCTGGCAAATAGATCAAATAAACATTTGTTTCATTATGCTGAAACTTCTCTGCTATTTTGTAATTCTTTGCTAGTACTTACCACAAATATGTGTTTTATTAACCACTGTGTTTGAGTGTATATTTATGCATATGTATGATATATCTGCTACTTGTGTGGAAGTGCCATAAAGAACAAACTGGATTTTATTTTAATCACATAATCATAACCCACCCATCTTTCATACAACTTAAAAGATACTTATTTCACGTCCATTGGTTCGGAGCTTGTCTAATGAATCCAAGACAGACAATTGGGACAAAAGGTGACAAGGACGAGATCTAGAAAACAGAGTTAGAATGAAGGGATTGACTCAGGTCAGTAGAGAATAAATGGTTATTATGGCCTCCTGAAAGGATAACAGTAAAATATAATGAGAAAGAGAACTTTCTCTGCTTTTCATTAGCTGCATTACTTTTGGTGAATTCCTGTAATTTTTCTATTTCTCAATTTTATCATTTTGGAAATGAGAGAAATGGACAATGTCACTGGATCTGAAGTCTTAGTGATTGTTGGAACCCACTGGGAAATACAAAAAAGGCAAATGCTTTGTTCCTACACAGTCAACAAAATTTGAGTCTCTAAGGTTGGACCCTAGGAGTCAATATTTAATTTTTATCATATTCTCAGATGATTCTAATAATCAGCTAATTATACTCTATTGACCATACTATAGAATAAATTTTCACATCCCCTAAAATTTTATGTACTGGGGGCCGGTGCTGTGGCATAGCTGGTAAAACTGCTGCCTGCAGTGCCAGCATCTCACATGGGTGCCAGTTCAAGTCCTGGCTGCTCCACTTCCTCTAGAGATCTCTGCTGTGTCCTGGGGAAGCAGTGGAAAATGGCCCAAGTCCTTGAACCCCTGCACCCACACAGGAGACCTGGAGGAAGCTCTCCTGGCTCCTGGCTTCAGATCAGCACAGCTCCAGCTGTTGCTGCCTATTGGGCAGTGAACCAGTGGATGGAAGAAGACCTCTCTCTCTCTCTGTCTCTCCTTCTCTCTCTGTGTAACTCTGACCTTCAAATAAGTAAATAAATCTTTTAAAAAAAAATCATGTACTGGAACTTAAACCCTAATTTTGGAACTAGTCCTACATTAAGTACTTTGGTCATGAGAGTTGCACTCTCATATATGGGATTAGTGCTTTTACAACAATTGGTCAGATGGATAATTAGCTCCTTTTTTACCACAAGAGAACACTGCAAGGTGATGGCTGTCTGTAACAAGGAAGAGTCTTTGGCAAGAGCCTAACCCTGTTGATACTCTGATTTCAGACATCAACTCCAGATCCATGAAAAAGAGAAGTCTGTTGTCTATAAGCCACCCAGCCTATGATATTTTAGAGCAACATGAGCTAAGGCAGAGTAGTAGCATCGGCATTACCTGGGAATTTTTTAAAGATACAAATTGTCAATCTCTATCTCAGACCTACTGAATCAGAAATTCTGTTTTAAGACCCAGTAGTGCATATTTTAACAATCCTTTCAGGTGATCTTAAGCACACAAAAACTTGATAATTACTGGACAGATGATAAATAAAATATCTGCCAGTGTTGAAATTAGGTAATTATATGGCCAAAGATGAACAGAAAGGTTAATTCAGGCCAGAGTCTAGAGGAAGGATCTCCAGACCTATACAAACCCATGTACATAGGTATCTTTTATCATAAAAAGTTTAAGATGGGTTCAATGTTTGGCCATGATCAAAATGGTTGTTCTTAGCCTACAAATATCAGATTATGTCACCATTTCTGAGAAGTGTGTCCTTACTTCTATACTCAGACTGTCAGAAAACTTTGTTCTGTCTGCCCTCCTCCCATAACATCCTCAGCAAATACTTTCTCTTTTTTTTTTTTATTTGACAGACAGTTAGACAGTGAGAGAGAGCGACAGAGAGAAAGGTCTTCCTTTCGTTGGTTCACCCACCAATGGCCTCTACGGCCAGCGTGCAGCACCGATCTGAAGCCAGGAGCCAGGTGCTTCCTCCTGGTCTCCCATGCAGTGCGGGCCCAGGCACTGGCATCTCACTGCTTCTGGCACAGCAAGAGCTAGACTGGAAGAGGAGCAACCAGGACTATAATCCAGCTCCCATATGGGATGCCAGCACTGCAGGGAGAGGATTAACCAAGTGAGCCATGGCACTGGCCCTGCTCAGCAAATATTTATTATGGCACTTATTTTTCAGTACTGCTATAACTTATCCCCAGTAGTCTAAGGACAAGTTCTCTGCTTTCCTGTCTCTATAAGCCTACCACCCATCATTGCTTGCCCCCCATAGACATTCCAGAATGTTGAATGAAAAGGTAAGTGATGTACTCTGAGCAATGTGTGATAGAAAATGTGATTCCAATGGGCTCTTTCTGTTGACTCTTGAGTAGAATTAAGATTATCAGGTTATTTAGAGAATTTTTACTTCAAATTGAAATGTCAATTTTTTATTGATGCTATGACACTTTATAATTATCTGTGAACAAAAGAAGCTGTAGTTAGAATATGCCCAAAAAGATAAACAAGAAAATATCTAGCGGTCAGCTTTCATTAAATGATCTGTAACCACTACGTTATTTCAGAATTTGACTATACGAAATATTATAACCTGGCAGCTTAAACTGCTCCTTAAGAGACACTTGAAATGTTACAATAATATAAAAACAAAGAAGAGATTAAAAATTTTGTTAAATAGTGTTGGGAAAACACTTTTCTTAAGTAGAAGATCTATAAATACTTGCACATGTTTTAAAGATTGAATTTCAAAGTCCATTATTTTAATGACTAACAGCTGTCTGGAAAGGAAAAAAAGGATGCTTTTCCATTTAATTTGAGCACAATTTTACTAAGTACATTAGAAAAATAGTTTCTGAATTTCCAAAAACATGAATAATAGTATGGGAGGACTTTGGTAGTATCAAAAGACAAGAGTTATTATGCTCATTTAATGTTTAAAGAACCTATGGGCATTAAAATAAAAATGTAATTTACAATAATTTAGATTTTAGTCTGTTCTTAGGTCTAATCTTTCCTTTCTTTTGCTATCTTATCACTCTTTTTTTTCTAGGCCAATGGGAAATAGAAATTGATACATGTTTCTCAGCTAAATTAAGAAACATCTATTCCACAAGTACTTGAACAAAGTACTTTTATCTACACTTTCTTCTTTTGATTACATTTTCCTTTTGTACAGAAATGATCTAAAATGGGTTCCATTATGCATTTTCTTCTAAAACTCTTATTTCTTTACAACTCATGATATTCGCAATTTTATAATTGGATATAATCATTACATCCAATTATAATGCACACAAATAATTACATCAACTAATGCAGCTAATTTGTTAATGTGAAGCTATCCGTTGACTGTTCTGCATGGCATATTCTGAACCTGAGCACAGCTAGACCCTTATAAATGCCAGATGATTGCCTCTCCGGAGAAATCAAGGGGGCAGTTTGGCCCTGGGTGACCAGGCTCTCAGGAGAAGCATTTCCAGTGAATTCTATTACTCTCTGCCCCAATTTTTGCCCATCTTTTTCAAGGGAGAAAGTGTCTGGCTTGACTCTGAACCACTGTCTTCTTTCAACTAACGCCATGCCAGAAACTACTGCTTCAAGCTGACAACTAGCAGCTGTGCTCTGGTACAGAAGCCCCAAGCTATCATTGACAGCTGGATCTCTCAGGAGGTTTCCAGAAAACTCCAGAACTCCTGTTGTTTGCTGTGGCCTATTCCGGCTATGTGAGAGGATATGGTTAGAAGCCTGATTAAACTGAAATGTCTGCATCCTCTCATTGCAGCTCCCTCATATTATTCAGCTATTTAAGGTATGTTCTTTCAAAATAAAGATGACACTACTGCTCCCCCTTTAGGAAAATTGTTTTGCTAGTAACTCTAAAGAATGCGAGTGAATCATTCACTCTCCTTTCATTTCCCTTTGTGACCAAAAACAAACCTTTTGATAGAGTTGGCTGCATTGGAAGTTCAATCTGTGGTCACTGAAAAAGCCGGTGATTATGGGGCCAAAGTGCTGTGTTCAACCAGACCTTTGCCCCTCCTGTGGCCACACCTTCTCACCTGTCCCCAGAGAAAAGCAAGTAGCAGTCCTGGGTGAATTCTATCACAATTCTTCATATAAATGGTAAAGAAATTGATGTCTTGAATAATTCTACTAACTCTAGATCCATGGTGATTTTAGACAAAATGTTGAAGCATGTACAATAATTTTGAATAAAGGATATTTATCCAGAACTGAGTGTTCCTGAATAATTCAATGAACATTAAAATGCTCTGTCATTGTTTCCTTTTAAGAAGACAAACATCAGAGAATTATGTCTTCTTAGTTCTGGGTTTATTAACAATTAGATTCATATTTAAAATTCTAAATCCAAATAAACAACAAATTTTAGAAAATGTAGGTATAATTTCTTCTTTAGAAATCCATCTTTAAGAGAAACAAATACAGAATCACTCTCAAAGTAGCAACAAACCAGAGAAAACAGAATAAGAACACTTGTTTTACTTTGAAAAAATAATTAAATTGCTCAAAGTTCATCTTCTACTATTTTAAAGATGCAAGCATTGAAACTATTAAAGGATTTCATAGGAAAAATTTAAAGATTCAAAAAGCTCATATCTTTATCAGATTTTCATGGTTTCTTATTTTTCCTTGCCTTTCTTTCCTAAATATGTCTAATGGATGTATATTCTTAGATAATCAGAATAAATTTTAATAACATCTGCTGTTTTTCAAATATCCTGTATATTTTCAATATTTTAATTACAGTGTGACTCACCCTTTGTTTCCTTTCTTACTCGTATTCCCAAGAAGATGGAATCAAGACACTTGAATTTGAGTTCCTCAGATAGGACTTTACGAGGTTTTGGCATGATATATTTTTGTTTTCAGAAACAAATTTCTGAAAAAGAATCAAGATGAATTTAGTGACAATAAACAATAGTTAGTACCTGAAAAAAAAAGTAAAGAGAAGGTTGACTTGCTCACATGAATCTGAACTTATATTTTAAAATTTACTACCTCAAAAATATTCACCACAAAAGCTCTCCATTAGTCAAAAAGACAAGCAAAAACAAGCTAAGTTTTCACTAAGTCCGTTTCAGAAGAGACTCAGGGGTGAAGTCGGGAGCATGAATTTTGACTAAGGATTATACTTGGGACAAACAAAAAAGAGAGAGCGAGCAAGAAGAACATTCTGTTGCCTCTGTTCCAGACCTCATTAACACAAACCTTCACTACTGTAGACCATTTTCCACATGATCTACCAGAGAATTTATTACACCCAAGTATCAGATAAATCTGGAAAGTGTCCTGGTTAAAATATTTTATTGCTAGAAAAGTCTTGGAAATTTCCATTCTGTCGTTCTTCCTTACTCTTGCCCCCAGAGGTTTATTGCAGTGGTCCCACTAAGGGAGAGTGGTCAGCTCCCCCAGAAGACCCCATCCTGTGCGTCACTGCCTGACTAAAGCATTGTCCCACTAAGCTCAGCAGGTATTACCTTCAGGGAGTGTGGATAAGAAATAATAATATCTCCCTAGTTTCAGATTTCAAGGCTGTGAGTGTTAAGGATCAGATTTGAGAGCCCATAATCCAAGAAGAGGAAATGAAAAGAGCAATAATAAAAACTGCCTCCCATGTCCTCAAGCAGTAGGTTAATACCCTTCAGAGAAGACATTTCTCACCAAAGAATTATTTTGCTCGTAAAAAATGAAAACTCTATATTTTGCTTTTATAATCAAGGTATATATATATATATATATATATATAGTTGGATACAAAAAGTTGCCAATGTTATTGTATTAGTAACTTATTTCTGTCTGATGATTAATCATTAGCATTATCATTCTTACACAGTTTACTGATTGATTTTATCAAATGACAAGAATTTTAGATGCAATAATAAATTTTAATACTTTAATTGCTATTATTGGAAATTCATTACTAATCAAGTTAAAGAAAATTAGTTTCATTTAGAATTTACATAAGAATATATGTGAACTAGAATAAATGTAAACTCATGAATATAAAATTTAAAAATTCAGCAGATTGTTAGAATGGTTCCAAATATTAAGATAATTTGAATGAATGTTTCCATCATGATGTGGAAGCTGGACATTATGAGGAAGTTGCCTATGTCTACACTGTAGACATTAGCAAATAAGACTAAGAAAAAGTTTCCCAACTTGCTGTTTGGCGAAACGAGAGTCTGTGTCTACACAACTCCTCAAAGATTGGAACAAAAGTCATCATCAATCAACAAGTCATTTTATCAAAACAGCACCCAACAACAAGAAAAATGTGTTTTCTCCTTTGTTTTGCTCTTTTTCATTGAATTTACTAGTTTTTTGGTATCTTACACACATGGTCCAAATGACAGGGGAATTGACTGAGAAAATCTGGGAATACAAACAAAACTATTGAATCACTTTGGAAATTATTGAGACATACAAAAAAAAAAATGTACCAGTAGCTTGCTCACATCAGGCCAGATTTGCCTAGAGATATAAGCCATGTTAGTTTGTCATGCTATGTTGATGTAAATTTAACATGAGTTGATTTGGTACATAATTTCTTTTTTCAAAAATTATTTTATAAACTTACATTTAATTTCTTTCTCTTTTTTAGATTTATTTATTAACTGGAAAGGCAGACTTATAGAGAAGCATAGGCAAATAGAGAGAGAGAGAGGTCTTCAATTCCTTGGTTTACTCCCCAAATAGCCACAATGGCTGGAGCTGGGCTGATCTGAAGCCAGGAGCCAGGAGCTTCTTCCAGGTATCCCATGTGGGCGCAAGGTCCCAAGGATTTGGGCCATCTTCTATTGCTTTCCCAGGCCATAGCAGGGAGCAAGATCAGAAGAGGGGCAACCAGGGCTTGAATTGGTAGGCATATGGAATGCAGGCACTGCAGGTGGTGGCTTTTACCCACTAAGCCACAGTGCCAGCTTCAGTACATTATTTCTTGTTCTTCTCTCCAGGGAATACCATACTGACCTTGATGAATAATAAAACTTTTCAGAAAATACTGGCCTTCTACATTTCTCTTCTCATTTCACAAAATAGCCAGTTCTACTTCCATAAATCTTGTTACTCATCATAGTAATATCACAGAAGAAAAATGATGCCTGTCAAGATACTTTTCATGGAGTAAGAGATACAATTTGTCATTATGATGACTTCATGATTTGATCATCACCTAGGTAAGAACTTTGTAACTATGTAAGGTCTGGAGACTCCAGACCAATGTAAAAACTTTGAGGCCGGCGCCGCAGTTCACTAGGCTAATCCTCTACCTGCGGTGCCAACACACTGGGTTCTAGTCCCGGTCGGGGCACTGGATTCTGTCCCGGTTGCCCCTCTTCCAGGCCAGCTCTCTGCTGTGGCCCGGGAGTGCAGTGAAGGATGGCCCAATCCTTGGGCCCTGCACCCCATGGGAGACCAGGAGAAGCACCCTGCTTCTGGCTTCGGATCAGCGCGGTGCGCCGGCCGTAGCAGCCATTTGAGGGGTGAACCAACAGAAAAGGAAGACCTTTCTCTCTGTCTCTCTCTCACTGTCCACTCTGCCTGTCAAAACAAAAACAAAAACAAACAAACAAAAGAAAACACAAAACTTTGATTCTATGTTCCTTCACCACTGCTAAAACAACAGGAAACTTACCTTGTCCAGTACAACCCTAGGAGGCAAATGGCTCTCATGAGAAATAGCACAAGATACAGCAGCCTCTGGTTCCAACCTTTAGAAAGGAGGATTACCTTTAATCCAAATTCATGGATTAGAAGAATCAGTATCATCAAAATGTCCATACTACTGAAAGCAATTTACAAATTCAATATGACCCCAATCAAAATACCAAGGACATTCTTCTCAGATCTAGAAAAAAACGTTATGGGGCTGGCGCTGTGGTGCAGTGGGTTAAAGCCCTGGCATGAAGCGCCAGCATCCCATGTGGGCACCGGTTCTAGTCCCGGCTGCTCCACTTCTGATTCAGCTCTTTGCTATGGCCTGGGAAAGCAATGGAAGATGGCTCAAGTCCTTGGGCCCCTGCACTCACGTGGGAGACCCCAAGGAAGCTCCTGGCTCCTGCCTTCGGATCAGCGCAGCTCCAGCAGTTGCGGCCATCTGGGGAGTGAACCAGTGGATGGAAGACCTCTCTCGCTGTCTCTACCTCTCTCTGTAACTCTGTCTTTCAAATAAATAAAATAAATATTTAAAAAGATGCTAAAATTCATATGGAAACACAAGAGACCTCAAATAGCTAAAGCAATCTTATACATCTTATACAATGAAAACAAAGCCAGGGCATCACAATACCAGAGCTCAAGACATACTACAGGGCAATTATAACAAAACAGCCTGGAACTGCCATGGAGGAAGGAAAGGTAGAGTGCGGAATAACCCGGTGGGTAGTCCAATGGAACAGACTAGAAACTCCAAAAATCAATCCACGCATCTACAACCAACTTATCTTTGACAAAGCAGCTAAGATCAATCCCTGGAGCAAGGACAATGTCTTCAACAAACAGTGCTGGGAAAGCTGGATCTCCACATGCAGAAGTGTGAAACAAGACCTCTGCCTGATACCTTACACAAAAATCCCTTCAAAGGGGATCAAGGACCTAAATCTACCACATGATGCCATCAAATTACTAGAGGACATTGGGGAACCCCTACAAGTCATTGACATACGCAAAGATTACTTAGAAAGGATCCCAGAACCACAGGCAATCAAGGCCAAAATAGACATGTGACATTATATCAAGCTGAGAAGTTTCTGCACTGCAAAAGAAACACTCAGCAAAGTGAAGAGACAACTGATAGAATGGAAGAAAATTTTTACAAACTATGAAAATGATAAAGGATTAATATTCGGAATCTATAAGGAGCCCAGCAAACTCAACAACAACAAAATGAACAACCCAGTTAAGATATGGAGAAAGGACTTGAACAGGTATTGTTCAAAAGAGGAAATCCTAATGACTACATGAAAAATGCTCAGGATCACTAGCCATCAGGGAAATGCAAATCAGTGTAGGTTTATTTAATATTTTTCTCATGATTATACTGAAGTCATGGTTTTTTGGAAAGATTACATCAAAAGGAAACTATTCTCATTAAGTCATGCCATAGATACATGATATGAGCATGACTTACCACTATTGATGTTAACCTTGATCACTTGGATAAGGTGGTGTTTGTCAAGTTTCTCTCCCATCAAGCCAGTATTTTCCCCTTTTCACATTCCAGTCTGTAGAAGCAAGTCACTACATCTAGTCCAATCTTCATCTCCTGTAAAGGAATTATGTACATAAATTATTTGAAATTTTTCTGTAAGGAAGATTTGTCCCTTTGCCCCCATTTAATTATTAAGCAATTAATATATGCCACAATAGAATCGCATATATTTCCTTTACATTTTCAGTTACAATCCAGTACTGCATTATTAATTTTGCGGTTCAGATTGATTCGCATCCCTTAAGCATACCCTTACCCTTTTGTTTCTCTTTTCTAATTTGTTTTTTATTTGTTTGTTTGCTTGTTTGTTGGTTTTGTATTTCTTTACTTCCTGGCAACCCAAGACTGGATTTGTCTGTCACTTGTTCTGCCTTAGCCCTAGAATCAGCCATTACTCAAAGAACTCCCTGTTCATTTTATTTGAGTGGCAATAAGCTTATTGTCACTATTCCTGGGCAAATCACTTAATGTATCTAATCCTGAGTACATGTCCGACCGCAGTGATGATTCCTGAGACTGGAGGCATGGAAACAGTTCATAAGCTGCAAACCATTAGATAAACATGAATTAGCTTTAGGATAATGCAATCACTGATTTTTCTAGCAAATGATTATTTGTTAAAACATGGCACTATATTTTTTTCTATAATGTAGGGAATCTAGCTTTCTTTAAGCTCACGTTTACAACATTTAGCAAGCCATTCCCAAGGCAGATGCCCAGTCAGAGGGCCACTGCAGGCCCTAACAATTGTTTGTGGTTTGTGTTCTAATGGGTAGCTGCATCTGGTCTGGTTATAAACAGCTAGGACACACTGATTTCTGGGTGCTTTCTGTCACCTGGACCCCACGTATTTACCCGATACAGTTGAGACACAAATGAGTAT